CGCCGCCACCACACCAACGGTACGCGAGGCATTCTGCACATACACCGTCGGGCCGCTGTAGTTCTGCTCGATTTTCACCGCCGTGTGCGCTTTTGAGGTCGTCGCGCCGCCAATCAATAGCGGAATAGTGAAGCCCTGACGCTCCATCTCTTTCGCCACGTTAACCATCTCGTCCAGCGACGGCGTGATAAGCCCCGAAAGGCCAATCAAATCAGCATTCACTTCTTTGGCGGTACGGAGAATTTTTTCCGCAGGCACCATCACACCGAGATCGACAATTTCGTAGTTGTTACATTGCAGCACCACGCCAACGATATTTTTACCGATGTCGTGGACATCGCCTTTCACGGTGGCGATCACCATCTTGCCGTTGGTTTTACCCTGCTCTTTGCTGGCTTCAATAAACGGTTCGAGATACGCCACTGCCTGTTTCATGACGCGCGCCGATTTGACCACCTGTGGCAGGAACATTTTCCCTTCGCCAAACAGATCGCCGACCACGTTCATACCGTCCATCAGCGGGCCTTCAATCACTTCAATCGGGCGCGTAGCCTGCTGGCGGGCTTCTTCGGTATCCTGCTCGATAAACTCGGTAATGCCTTTGACCAGCGAGTATTCCAGACGTTTATTCACGTCCCACGAGCGCCACTCCGCCTGCTGGGCGTTAGCGGTGTCGTCGGTTTTGCTGCCGCGATATTTCTCGGCAAGCTCCAGTAAACGCTCGGTGCCATCATCGCGACGATTAAGAATCACATCTTCCACCGCGTCGCGCAGTTCAGCGGGCAGGTCGTCGTAAATCGCCAGCTGCCCGGCATTGACGATCCCCATATCCATGCCATTGCGAATAGCGTAGTAGAGGAACACTGCGTGAATGGCTTCGCGCACCGGATCGTTGCCACGGAACGAGAAAGAAACGTTAGATACGCCGCCGGAAATTAGCGCGTGCGGCAGTTCGCGTTTGATGTCTTCACACGCGCCGATAAAGTCCTGCGCGTAGTTGTTGTGCTCTTCAATGCCGGTGGCAACCGCGAAGATGTTCGGGTCGAAGATGATATCTTCTGGCGGAAAGCCAACCTCTTCGGTGAGGATTTTGTACGCCCGACGGCAAATCTCGATTTTCCGTGCGCGGGTATCGGCCTGTCCCTGTTCGTCAAAGGCCATTACCACCACTGCCGCACCGTAACGACGCAAGAGCTTCGCGTGATGGATAAAGGCGTCGACGCCCTCTTTCATCGAGATAGAGTTAACAATGCCTTTGCCCTGGATACACTTCAGACCTTTTTCAATGACATCCCATTTTGAGGAGTCGATCATAATCGGCACGCGAGCGATATCCGGTTCACCGGCAATCAGATTGAGAAAACGCACCATCGCCGCTTCGGCGTCGAGCATCCCTTCATCCATGTTGATATCGATAATCTGCGCGCCGTTTTCCACCTGCTGGCGGGCCACATCCAGTGCCTCGCTGTATTTCTCTTCTTTGATCAGGCGCTTGAACTTAGCGGAACCGGTGACGTTGGTGCGTTCACCCACGTTCACAAACAGGCTATCTTCGCCAATGTTCAGCGGCTCCAGGCCGGACAAACGGCAGGCTACGGGGATTTCCGGCAGTTTGCGCGGCGCTAATCCTTCTACTGCACGACTCATCGCTGCAATATGTTGTGGCGTGGTGCCACAGCAGCCGCCGACGATATTGAGAAAACCCGCTTGCGCCCATTCACGTATCTGTTTTGCCATCGTGTCGGCGTCGAGATCGTACTCACCAAAGGCGTTGGGTAGCCCGGCGTTCGGGTGCGCGGTGACGTAGCATTCCGCAATCCGTGACAGCTCCTGCACGTACTGGCGCAGTTCATCGGGCCCCAGCGCACAGTTCAGGCCAAAGGTCAGAGCTTCG